CGGTGGTGAGGACATACATGAATTCTGCTCCTGCGACTGGGATGCGTTGTCACTGATCTTCTGCGCTGCCAGGTGCAGATCATGCCCAAGGGCCGCTACGAGAGTACAGAGAAGTGCGAGCCCCAACAGCCTAGAGTCTAGGGCCTAGAGCACGGAGAACGTTTACCCAATGTAAGGAGATTAGTATCATCATCTTCAAGTAACTCATGTTGTCGCAAGTGGCTAAGATGGTCAATGTGAAACCTCCTCATCGGCTGGAGAGGTCTATCGTGGTCGAGTCTGGTAGAGGGACACTCCCTCAGATCCGAATGACCAGGTCCGACGCCACGGGATGTACTAGATGTACTGCATTCCTTGGGTTTGTCCGTTCTTGCCTGTAACAGTCAGTACAGTAAACAAGAACATCACGATTTTTGGACAAGGCCTTTACTAACCACCATCCACGGTTAGAGGTAATAGGATAGACCCAATGCATTCCGAGGTTCAGACTGATTCTCGAGGATCCCACCGGAGGAGCTGGATGTCTCGATACGAGCCGAGCGCGAGTAAGGGCTAATTAAAGCTTCTAGTTTCTAATAGCAATCATTGTTACTACTAGTAAGGCACTTGTTACTGGAAGCGATGATACTTGTTACTAGTAGCTTAGGTAGAGTAAGGACATCTGGAATTTGAATATACCCTACTGCGCAATGGCAGTTCCAAAGTCAAAGCAAGAGCGATGAGATGCGATTAGATCCACAGTAGAGTATACATGATGTTGTGGGGGCTGCGTGATGTTTTTGCGGGGAACTGGTGTGGTTTCCTCGCCATGGATGTGGCTTTGGTTGGGGAAAGATGAAGGTGGAAAGAATGATAAGAATGGTCAACGCCTGCATCATTCGCCGGTGTTTCTTTGGCCGGAGATGAAGGTGGCAAGATCCAATCACTCAAGTTGGCATTAGGGATCAACATGGATCAATGAGGATTCATTGTTTGTGGAAGTGAAACCAGCCTATCCGTTCCACCGCCTGCAGATGCCTAAAAAGGATGGTCCTTTTTTGAACCCGTCGACTGGCCCAAGCGAAGCATGGGGACGTGACACCCAACGAAGCATGCCACGTGAGTGTCATGTGGCGAGCTCCCAGTCCCAGCTCTAAAGTTAGAATCTCATGTGACATCCCCGTCAGGACTCGAGCAGCTCAGTCGTCCCAAGTGGTTTGGCTGGGGAGTGACAAACAGTCTTGGGATGTCCTATGATGTCTTGGGGGACTTGAGCCAACAGTTCGTTCTTATTGGGGTCCGGGGTATACTGATGTAGTTACTGATGGTATACTCGAGGATCTCGCTCAAGTCAAGTTGAACTTCGACTGCCATGGTTCACTTGGACCCTTCCAGGAGCCAAGTTCGACAGCACCACCGATGGTGGCTCTGACAGCTGCGTTTGCACAGCCGGGGCCCTCAGCGACAATTGGTGCGCTCCGGGCATGAAAGGGAGTTGGTGAGAATTGATTGCTTTCATCCAGCTTCATTCTGACCGCCACCAGGTCCACTTGCTAGAAACAAAGTGAAACAAGGTGACACATGAAGTGAGAAGAAGCTGAAGCAGTTTTGCTTGAAGATGCTGAAGGATGTTTTTCATCCCGCATGTTCAGTTTTTTTGTTTGACCATGGGGAAGCAGAGCGGCTTCGCTTCAACACCTGGTCCAACAGGGCGCCGAAGAACGGGCAAAATGCCTCGTTGTTGTGTCACTCGTTGTTGTGTGTGGTGGACAATATTGATATGGATGTGGAACCCATGGGTTTTGGGTCAGTTTTGGTCTAGTTAAGAGTCTAGTTTCCTTCTTCCCAGGGTCTTCGGATGGTTTGCCTTAAGCTTTGATTCTACGTGCAGGTTGAGCCAACACTCACTGCATGAGGGCACCCATTGCAGGGCACCCTGACCCCCCCCAAAAAAAGGAAAAGTTTCAAGTTTTGAAAGACCTTAGAGAGTGAGAAAACAGAAATGGAATTGAAACAAAACACAAAAGGCATGATCGAAACTGTTTCAGGAGCGAGGGAAACGGATACTTATATAGCTGCAGAGACCCCCCCACCTGGTTTAACGGATCGGGTTTATCCTCCGAGTACGTGCGATGTCCGGACTTGCTGAGACGTTCCAGGCCTTGGAAGCTCGCGTGAAGGGGCTTCCAAGGGGCTTTGCACAGGTGTCATGCCAAGCCAAATCTTTTCCAGATCTCTTTATAAGTGCCTTGAGCTACTTGAGCTACACTACCAACCCTCTAGGAGATTCGTCGACCAAATCCAAGAGTTAATAGCAACAGTGCCTCGAATCTCACAGCTCATGCTTGCATATCAGCGAAGAAATTCAAGACCGTGCTTTCATATCACCACTATAGTCCTTCATTATTGAACGGCGTGCAAGGTTTGAACAGTGAAATAGCCTGCACACCAGAGGTACAACAGCTCAACTCGCTTTTCACCATTCCGAACCCCCACACATCTTTGGATCAAATGGATGTTCCCAAGCAGTGGAAATTGATTTCAGCTCAACAAACAGCTCTGAAATCAAACAGATCGTCCAGTGGAAACCTTCCACCCTCAGCTGAAATAGCAGAAAACCACCTGGACCGCTGCACCGGCGGAGCCACGAGGTGGTCATCCTGGCGGACACGAAAAACAAGCCACTCGTGGACAAGGTGGGGTAGGCGGCTAGGCCTAAACCACAGATCAAATGGGGAAGATCTCACCTCACAGGAGAATCCTTAAGTCTCCTGGTGTCGTTCGACGTTCTCCTGGTTTGGGGAGTCCAGATGCTCCATCCGCTGAGTGGATGGCCATCTCCACACTTGGACCAGCTGCACGGACTGAAGAAAGCATCGGGTGTTCCCACGTTCCGAACCCCCCCGCCCTCGACCTCCAAATCTCAAGATGCAGAAATCATCAGAAATCCTTGCTTCCATTTCCAAGAACTTGATGACTCGCACAGACTCGTGTTTAAACCTTTTTGCCGGCTTGTCCGAGAGCAAGCCCCGTCGTTTGGAACGCTCGCTGGTGACCCAGCTGCTGAGTCGCTCAGCCGTTGGGGCCCCGCGCAGATCTTCTCGACGTTGTCTCCCAACTGGGACGAGGTGGCCTTGGGCAACGCGGTTCCTCGGCGTCCGGCGGTCATGGGGGGGGTGCTGAGCTGTTGGGTCCCCATCTCAGCCGGTCGATGGTGCGATTCGGGTCTATCACGGTGAGGGCCAGGCAGATCAAGAAAAAGAGACCCTGCCTCCAACAAGCATGGAAGTGGATGGAATAGGCATGAATGGTCCTGGAAAGAGAATGGTGCTCTAAAGACCGAGGGCATCATCATCATCATCATCATCATCATCATCATCATCATCATCATCATCATCCACTTCCATGTTTCTTTGAGGGAGGGCACTGCAACCTTTGGCAGCATACAATGACCACGCATTTAGGACTCCAATTCCTGACCTTTCTGTTGTATTGGATGCAACCCCAGAACTTAGTTTTGATGTTTCCGCTTTCGATGTTTGGTCACTCCCAACACCACTTCCGTTGCCAGACTTGGAGGAATCTCATTGTCTCCTTCTTGTAGAGATACATCACAGAGTCTACCGTACCGCAAGACACTTTGAATTTTTGGTTGCAAACAACACCACCGGCTCCGAATTGTTTGCTCCTTACCTGGCGTTGCGGAACAAACGGAAGCTGATGACAGTTTTCTTCAACATCCGGCTTTTTCCCTCGTGTGTTTCTATGACATCCCAGGTCTCTTTCTCCTACAGTTTCGTAGCTTGCGTGGGGTACCGTAAGTCTTCGCTCGAGGTCTATCTTTGTTTCGCAACAGTCAGAACCATGTGCTACCGATTTTGAGTGCGCAAGAATACTCAGGAAGCAGGAAGCGAGGACACAGATATGCAATGGTCCAGTCGTTTGGTGATTTGATTTGCAAGGAGTGAAAAGACCTAGAAAGAGCCTAAGGACTTGGACAGAATGAAAAACATGTACGTTTTTGTAAGTAAACATCGGAGAGCGTCCGACTGCATTTTTCTCACTCTGTTTGGTCTAAGCCTTGCGTCCCATAAGGCCTGGATCGACCAGTTTGTGGAGGCCATGTATTGCTAGGAGCTCAGGTCGACACCTCTCAGATTGCTTCGGCCTGCGACCTGTTTTCTGTGAATTTCTGGCATTCCATGTTTTTTGCTTGACTCATTTTTTGGTGTCCAACTGAGTGACAACTCTGCACACCTGGCACCACCGTCCAGAGTGATGTTGGACCAACGTGGATCCAACCAAGGTGGTGGCAGCAAAGAGGAGCAGAAGAACTCTTCCTGGTTTGAATTTGCTTTTTGGCAGAGCTGGCAGAGCTGTCGAGGGATTGTGCGATGGTCCCTCCAGTCAAGGCCTAGTAATGCCTAGTAGCCTAGTACCAAGTCGATAATCATATTATGAGAAGTATGTGGTCAGCAAGTTCAGATATGAATGCACATGGATCAGTTTGCCGTTATTTGGCTGGAGGTAGTTGTGAAGAGGTCATCATGACATCAGGCAGTCTTTCGTCGGTGTTTCGGTCACTGGTAGGGCCTCCCAGCCACAGTTGGAACATGTTGGAACATAGCATGGAACATGGTGGAACCAATGTGGAACCCATGTGCATCCGGGGAGATGTTCGCGAAAATTGTTGGGTACTGCGAATCGAATCGTCGGGCTTTTGCGGGTGTTGACCTCCAATTCTGGCCTCACTACACCTCACTCACCACAGTCCTCGTGTTTTCTGGAGTCGGGCGAGTCCGCTGGTCTGGCTCAGTCCACATTGCACGCTGGCTGCAAGAGGCAGAGTGAGCCTATTCAGTCCATTGGGGTGGCCCCAGAACTTGAAGGTAGATGACCCATGATAACCCATTTCAGCTCATTCCCCTGGGGTTATGCGGAAGTTGTGCGGGTTGTGTTTCTTGTGCCCAAAAATTGTCCACAAGCGGGGGCCGGGGTGACAGAGGGCCATCCTGCAGCCCATGGCAGTCGAACTGCCCGAGTACGTGGCACTTGGGGGTAATGGAACCTATGTACTGAGTTGGTCAGAGAGCCAGGTCAGCTGGTCCAGTGGGCTTGGCAAGGAGCTCTATGGCTTGTTGAACGGACGATACAACAACAGTGGCCAAAGCAACACCGGTATTTCCAGCATTGCCTTTACTGCGAGTGGTCGCTACGCGTTGTGCTATGAGGGAGGTGGCTGGCAGTTTTGTTGTGAGTCTATCTCGCGAAAGGTGATGAGCGACGGAGGCACGATTTCCTGTTTGTCCTTGGGCCCGCACGGATCTTACATTGTGATTGGCAGTGAGTGCGTTCAGTGGAAAGGTCTTCCGAAACGAGCTACGTAGCCAGGCAAGTCTCGAGTGGGCGGCCATTGGAGCTGAAGGAGCATATTTTTTTGAAAATTTGATGATGATATGATGTGTACTATTGGATACTATTGGTGTAGTTTGCACCCCACCTTGAACGCATTGCTCGACAAGGAAACAGGTATTCACCGTGTGGATCTCTCAGCTGTTGATGGCGCATACTTCCTCCAGCTCAAGGATGGCCGGGCATTTTGGGATGTCAGTAGGGATTTCGATTCAGAGATGGGCATCCAGCCGCAAGGGGCTCCAGGGAAAAAGAGGAAGACATCCGCCTTTTTGCAATTGTCTCCTTCCAAGATCAGGTTTTCTCACCATGAAATCGGCCCAGTCTTTTCAAGTGGCCAGTACAGCATCAAGGATACGTTCCTAGCCTTGCACCGCCGTGATTTGCAACCGGAGGATTTGCCCCTCATGTATGTCGTTCAGCACCAAGGGCACTATGTATCTATCAGTAATAGGCGGCTGGCGGTTTTCCGGCTGTTGGAGATGTTCGGGAAGTCGAACTTAAAGGTCCCAGTGGAGCTTGTGTACCAGATGGGCAGCTTCTCTTCAAGATATTCCACGCAATGTGACGGCGAGTATGCTTATTTGCGCCACACCGACTTCTACATCGGTCGTACACGAGACGAGACCAACTTCGACCCCTTCAACCATAAACTCTCAAAGCCAACGTTCCGAGCTTCATGCTGCGACTCAGATGCAGACAGCGACACGCTCTAGGACACAGGTGTGAGTGTTGTGAGCTCCGCGGCCATAAGCGCACAGGAGTCAAAAAGAGTTGTTGAGGCTAAACGTCGAGCTCCATCAAACTCGCAACAGACGTCTTGGTCGGGGTTCGAGTTCAGCGCTTGATTTCTTGGAGTTCAGCGCACAAGGGATGCAACGCTGACAGCGTTGCAAGGGTTCTTGCACCAACCTGATGGAAGAACATCCACAGGCTCGATTCTGGGTGTTTCTTGGGAAAGCCTTTCTTAACCTCGCTTTTCGGGCGAAGACCGCGAAGGTCGGGCACCCTGCTGACCTCACCTGTTGCATGTGAGCAATTCAGGAGGTTCGGAATGCTGACCCTTCACATCCAATCTCTTCCAAATTTCCCACCGAGACCTAGATCTGAGGTCCTCCATGTTTTGTCCTTGCCATGGAAGCTGATCTTCGCCTTGGTTCCTCCCACCGAGTACTGCGGCGGCTGGCGAGACCCTCAGGGATGGTGATGGGCCCTCGGAATGTATAGGTGGTACATGGTGGTAGTTATATAGTTTTGTTGAGTTTTGTTCGCAATGATTTTGACAAAATCCATGTTCTAGCTTTCTTCCTCTCAGGCAGCTGGGATAACCAATGGCCACCTCGAGCCGACACACACTCCGAAATACATACTTACACATATGCGTCAACCCACTACATATCTTCAAGGACCTGGAGGTTCACAAAGCTGTTGAAAGAAGACTTCTCGGGAAAAGCACCTGAGATCAGCCCGAGATGTTCAAATCGATATGAATCCCATGAGACTTATTTCTGTGTGGCACCAACGTCCAATGTGCTTTTTTCATATTTCTTCTCTTCCGCAGAGCAACCCTTCCAACCGTGGCCAGGCTGTGCTTCTTCATTGCATTGGCCTTGGGCCCCAGAAAGGGAGCTTCTGGAGGCTCAAGCCCACCCAGATCAACCACGATGAAGCACGACTCTGCAGACTCCTTTGAAACTGCAAAAGGTATTGCAAACTTCGGATCACTTCGGTTTGATCCCCTTGTTTTGAAGAATCGTGCTTCCGTTTCTTCACTTGATGAGAGTTGAATCAAAGAAGAGGTGTGCACAGATCGGTAAATATGCATGTATATGCACACGTGCATACCGTAAGGGTCCAGGGTTGACCGTGGAACATCACTCGGTTGGCAGGATGGCGCCCTGTTGGGTTGAGGATGGTTGAAGGGCTTCCTGATTGACACATCTCCTCTTTCAACTCCTGTTAGCTCAACTAACTATAGTAACTAGGTGACACCCTCAGGTAGCCCTCCAAGAAGACAAGGCCTGATCATCATAGCCTTAGAGCCCCTCTCATTATCAGCCTCCCAGGTGCTGATCGGAGAACTGCGGCAATGATGTCAGGTGATGCATGTTCTGCCATGGGCAATCTTAGTAGTGAATTCCGATTTCTCCAGTAGCCGTAGTCTACCTACTCCAGTACCTACTCCAGGACAGCTGGATCTCTCAAAGTTTGTGTTCTCCGCTTGCACGGACTGTTTGGCTGACCATCTCAGGCCATGATTGGTTGCGTCACCATCATCATTGGGGATTTGGCCTCGTTATTGGGATGCTCCATGCAGGCTTGGCCTATATAGTAGGGAATGTCAGGCTGCCGGTGCCGGGTAAGATAACTGGCAATGCCGTGGATGCGGTTGAAACGGCTGGGAGGATTCGTATATTTGCTGTACTGAAAACAGATGTTGACTTTCCCTTGTGCCACTCCAAGTTCATGTTCATTGATTTCTTTCCTTTAGGGAAGGTGCTTACATGCTGTGGAGGGCCAGTTTACGCCTCCAAAACGCCGAAGACTCCGGCCTTCTCCGCCACCAAACGACCTGCAGATCTCTGACCTGCAAACGGCCATCACCCTGGTGGCGATGGGCACCTCTTTGTTGGGCGCCCGGGGCAAATACCGACGAGGTTGCGACGAGGATGGCACCACCTTTTGTTGTGTTTTTTTTCTGCACTTGTTTTTTGTATTTTTTTGTTTTTTTCTCGGGCTATGGCGATCATGGCGTCCGCTTCCATTTCATGGACTAGTTCGTTCATGGAGAGTAGAAGATGCGCCTTTTTCGACATCTTCCATGCATCCTAGAGGGTGACAGTATGGTGGCACCGCTGCAAGAGCTTCACAAACTTGAACAGAGATTCGGCAAGTCTTTCGTTTTGTTGGATGTGCTCCTTCAGTTTCCACATCGGTGTGTATTTCAATCGGGAGACCCCCCTGCCCCTGGCTGGGTAGACTGGTCTATTGACCTCGGTCTCCCTATTTCAATGCACAACTTATGGTGATCCCATATACTTGTACCATCTTGTACCTACTGGTTGCTCCTGGCATACGGGCATCGCTACAAGAAGCTACTAGTAACAAAGGGCATCGCTACTCCTTACTACTGGGAACAAGAAGCTACTAGGGGCTCCTGGCCTTACTACTAGGAGCAAGGACGCTAGTAGGGGCTCTTGGCCTTATTACATCTACTCTGAATCCTCCGAAGTCGGCACAAGTCCACACGGACGCCAGTCCGGGCGAGGTGGGGGAGGCCCAACCTCGATCCCAGGCCCGACACCTTTGCTTCAAGAACGGCCGCGCTACAGGAGAGACGACTCCCGGTCTGACCCTCTAATGAAGACGACGTGTCGATTGCACGGAGCGTGCCATGCTATTGTTACTACGGTAACCGTAGTCATTTGATGTCGTTTGGTTGATGTAAATGATGTAAGGCATGAGATGGTAACTACTGTTAGCAGATAAACTGGGTGATTACATTGTTGACCGATCTGCCACCGGCGATGGAGGACGAGTATGCGGATGCCAGCATTGGCAATGTGGCCGCCTGAGACCGACCCACCACCAAGCCCACCCGACCCACTGCTTCATGTTGACCCTTCAACAAGCATATACATATACAAGTACCGTATGGAACTGGACAATTGCCGTGTTGTTTCGGACAATGGCGATACTTCAATAAGTCTTGCTTTTCAGACCGCCCCTTTTGATGCTTTTGAGATGAGTAGTGCATCGGAAGGGTCTTAAGTCCTTAATTGATCAACAGACACGGCAGCGCCAGGAAAACTTGAACCATGTCAGCGAGCAACATGACATGTCCAAATCAGAAAGGGATGAAGAGACACGGACAATCAATGATCCTGGAGCATGATCTCACCAGCAGTTCGGGAGAGGTATTGTCAACATGTCTTCTTAAATGGAGATGACAACAGGAAGGGCAGATAGAAGGAAACCATTCCAATGGCTGGCTTGTTTGGCTGAGGTCACTGGCAGCAACTCTGTCAACGTTTTCCTTGGCATCGGCCTGCCGTCAGCGGCCCGAGAGCTGCCTCTCCATCCCATCCAATGCCCCTAACGGTTCTTTGCTCTAAGACCAGGAAAATATCCCGGAAAAGTTGATCATCTTAAAGCTTTTTAGAGCTTTTTGGGGAAGTGGTTATTCCCATGGTTTCCCCAAACAAGAACAGGTGTAATTAATTAGAAAGGTTAACCTTTGTTTTCCAGGTGAAAAACGGTTTTGGAGTCAGCTATGCGCTAAAGGCGGTGGTATCTTATGGTGACTTGTTCAGCCGGGAGCACGCCATTTTTCACGCATATGTGTGCATTGGCAGGTGCCCGAAATGCGGAAGAAGCAAGTGACAAGATGTTACCATATGTTCTCTGTGCGGGTTACAGCTGCGGGTTTTTTCAGGACCATCAAACGATGCAGGATGCCCATCCTTTGGAGTTGAGGATCCGTGCACCAAGTGACCAAAATGGTCACCAAGTCCCCTCGACCAGTCCCCCCTTGACCGTGGCCAAGTCCCCTGAGAACAGGCACAGATTTCCGCGTGAATCACAGAAGTTCCTTTGAGATCTTTTTCTACAGGAGTCGGCTCCTGTCGGCTGTCTGTGGCACGGAGTGCCAATGGCCACTACTAGGTGGATGATTGGAGCAATCTACTGGAATGTGCTTGGTCCAACTGATGAGTGGAAGGCCAAGTACCCACGGTCGGCAGCTCAGACCAATGGACACTTTTTTCGGAACATCTTCAAGTCAGTAGTCCTTGAGGCATACATGGACTGCCTGAAAAGTAGAGTTGAGTTGAGAAGATGAGAACCGCTACCACTCAAACGTCTTGCGGGTCAGTTTCAATGTGTGCGTTTTTTTGGTGTATACATTTGCACATCGGCTGTTCGTCGTGACCATTGAATCAAACAGTTGGCACTCAAGAGTCTTGAGGACAGCAGACAGCATGCCAATTTGTATTGGAACCCTGAACTCACTCCTGGTGGGGGGTTTTGTTTGGCAAATCGGCAGAAACAGGACGTGCAACATCCTCCAAACAAACCAACCACCTGTTAGGCTGGGAGAATTGTCGTAGATTTGCCACCCTGCACCGATGCTAGTGATTGGCTCCATGGCGTTAGCTGTCAATCAAACCATTAACAAAGCGGCCAAGGTGTTTGATGTTGAGAGTAGTGTGCTGATTGCACTATTGTTGCGAGCTGGTAGTTCAACATAAACTGCCCTTATCTTGAAGACGGTGCTTGATTCCATGTTCAAAGCTTTGCCATGTGCACGATGAATACGTTTGCTTGGCATCATGGAAAGCAGTTTGGCAAATATTTCAGGATGATGGGAAGTCCACGTCAGCTCCGTCAGAAATGTGGAAGTGACCGTATGTGGCTACCCGAGGTCTACACATGCCCGTGGAGAGGAAGCCTAGGGTAGCAGATGTTTGGTATTGTTTGGTACCCGGGGTCATTGGATATTCAATATTTCAATATGCCGTAGACGTTTAATTAATAACCCCTTGTTGGGATTGTCAACACCTCTTCATATGGAAGGTTTGAATATTCCAACAGTCTACATTAGGCTGGAGAGGTTTGGAGAGATCGAATGCCTGCTTGTTTTGGCTGAGTTTGATGACGATCTATCCAGACGGTGGCTTTATCGCTGGGGGCCGCAGACTGAAGCCCTGAGAACCAG